GAAAGGAATGAGCCGCACGCTCACAACGCCAGCAGCCTCACAGCCGCCCACACGTTCCCTTCAAGACAAAGAAGAGGTGGCACAAAGAAAAAAAAAGGGGAGAGACACAGAAACGGATGCACATACCGTCCATCATAACTCAATGACAAACACAAGACGGGGCAAAGAAGAAGAGAAAAGAGGGGAATGCGCATGCACCCGCCCCCCTCCTCCCCTCTTTTCTGCCAACCCCCGTCCTCCCTCTCTCTCACCCACCCCCGTCGCATTGTCACCCTCCATCAGTAAAGAGGCAGGCACGTACATTAGAGCTACTAGCAACATGAAGAACTAAAACAAAGGTCAAATAAAGAATAAAAAGGGGGAAGAGGAAAACACCAAAAAACAAACAAACAAGAGAGTTGTAATTGATCAGTGAATAACTCTCTTGATCATCAATATTATTCTTTTTGTTTTCGCATGCGTGTATGTGTGGAGGTTCCACTGCTTTGTCTTTGGGTATTCGCTCTCTCCGCAAGGCGATCCAAGAAAGCTTCCAGTCGGTCACACGCCCGCATGTGCAAAATCTGCGGCAGCATCTTCTCCGATACACCGAGCCAGTTAAGAATCACATCCACGTTCACAGCCACGTCGCCGCCAAAGCGCAACTGCGGAGAAAACGTTACAGGCCGCAGGGCCCTAAGGGAGCGCTTGTCAGCAGGCTGGTCGTCGGCGTTGTGCCGCTCCGTCTTCTCCGCAGGGGACGCAGCACCATTCGCCTCCGCATCCAACGGGACCGATGTTGTTACCTCCGCGGGCCAATCCCGACTGAGGACCCCAAATTGGTGGAACACCTTCGCGTGACTCTTCATGGTGAAGGAGCGCACAAGCTGAAGCATCTCCTGAAAGTCCTGAAAACGCGGGTTACCCGTCCACGGGTTGGACTGAAGCAGCGTCAGCATGAAGCCAACCTCTCCCTCGCCAATCACCTGCCGGGAGTAAAACTCGAACCTGTTGGCTCCACGGAAGCCGAGGATGAGCACCTTCACGGCGCCAGGACGGAACAACTCCACGTTCTCAGTGCGAATCTCAAGCACCTTCTTCACTGCCGCGTCCTCCTCACTAGGACATTCCGCAAAGGAGAGCGTCGCCCTGGGGAAGCTCGCAACAAGGCTCCCAGAGCTGCTTCCACCGGCCGAGGCCGTGCCGAGCCGCAGCGTCGTTTGCTCCAACTTCACAGTGAGCGCGCCACACGGGATGCGGGTGAGCGGGTTGCCCATGAAGGGAATAAGGCCTCGCTCCGCCTCGCCGACGCCAATGATACTTTTGCTACCACTCCGCGTTTCCCAACTAACACTGTTGTCGTCGCCGCTATTCGGCGCCTCCGTGTCTAACACCGGCGGAGGTATTTCACCGCCAGCAATAGTTCTTCGCGGATCCAACAACAATTCCATGCCGCAGGATACTTCTTTTAGCTGCACCGAGGACGGTGTGCGGGCCGCCTGCACGCCACTGTCGCGCAACAGCGAACCTGACACCTCCCGCTGCGTGGCCACAATCTCGCCCACACTGCTGACGGTATTGAGAATCACTGGCACAGTACTTGGCGTCACGAAAACGTTGCTTTTGTAAAGTGACAGCGCCGCCTCGACGGTCGTGCTGTTTTTCTCGCCCACCCCATCCATAGACGCGAGGCACAACTCCGTCACCTGACACTCAAACACATCCTTCAACTGCCGCTCCTTAAACCCGGCGTGCAGCTTCTGCACGCAAAGTATATTGCGGAAGGTGCGCCCACTCGGCGACCGCACTAACGCCCCCGCGCCCTCCGCGTTCGCAATGAGGAATCCCTTGAGAAGTACACCGTCCACGTTCGCCACACCAGCGAGAACACCTTCAGAGCGCATCAAAAACGAGCGCACCGCCGCATCAAAGCAGGTCTTACGACACGTACGCTCGGCAGATTGTGTCCTCAGCATAATGAGACTCACGCCGCCCAAAGTCACCTGTTGCGCGTTGCCAGAGCTGAGTTCGAGTCGCAGCTTCATGTGTGAAGCCGTAACAAGAAGCATCAGTGCCTCATCCACGTGGTCCTTCCTCATCGCCTCAATGTGCCTGCGGATCACAGCACTCTTCCTCACGTTCTCTTGTATAATGTTTGCGCTGCGTGTAAACATCTGACGAATGCTGTGCATCGACTCGAGCAGCGTTCTCTGCCAGAGCTCCTGTACAATGAAGAGCTGTGCCACGTGCGGTGCCCGCACCGTCATCTCCACATCGACGCCACTCGCGACATCCAGCGGGGTATGCACATAAACATTTAGAAGTTCCCACGCATGCTGGCGACGTCGCAACGAGGCACATATCACCACATCCGGCAAAAACATCTCGAATGACTTCACCTCCAGCTTCGCCTGACATTCCAGCCGTGTCCGTCGAACGCAGAGTGTGAATGACACCGTCGGCGTCGACCCCAACATCCGCTTCACAAAGAAGTCAAGACTGCCTCCACGCTCGTCCTGGAAGAGTGCAAGGGTTACCGTTGATACTGGCTTTGTCGTCAGCACAAAACGTAATCCCGTAATGCAAATGTGTACGCTCGCAAAAATATTCTTCTTGCAGCCGCCAAGGCCGGTGGGCCCTGCGACAGAAAAGTTCTGACACTCCGGCGGCGTGGAGTCGAAGTGGCGGCTCTGCCGTTGCTGCCGCTGTCGCTGCAGTGCAATTAACCCATTCGGCATTGATTGGATCTGCGCCACCGCTTCAGCAAAGCCGCGGGGCACAGGCAGCGCCACGTCGGCTACGGAGGAATGTAGTGCCAGGCCTCTGGCAGCAATACCCCTCTCCCACTCCTTCACAAGGCCAAGGATCTTCGCCCCACGCTCACTGCTGCTGCGCCCCTGCATCGATACCCACACCTCAATTTCTTCTGCAAGCAACATGATGGACGGTCCAATTTCAATCGGACCCGCCCGCATCTCCACGCGAACAATCAGCTCCTGCTCAAAAGTCGTGGAGTCGGACACAGTTGCCAGCACCATCGCAGTGATATCTGGCGTTGGAAAGGTCAGCAGCTCCGCCATGGGGTACACCGCTGTGGCACCGTCTGATGAATCAGAACCCATGTTGCCTTTATCAAGTGCTTCAGGGGCAAACTTCACTCGTCGTCGGAAGGAACGGGTTCTATTACTCGTCAAACCATCTGCAGTCGGTGAGGCCCCGGGAACGCCAAAAGGAGCGTCCCTTTGAAGGGAGTAAACCTTTACCTCGCCTCGCTCAACACGCACTGTAAGATCAAATTGGTACAAAGTGAGACCCGTGCTTACTGCCTGTGACCCTCCCTGTGGATTCGACGGGTCGGCGTGTCGCTCTTTTCCGTCGATTTCTGTTAACCCCGTTGCCTCGCCCACAGAAAACTGTCGTGGTGAATGGTGTGACGTTAAGGTTGCCCCATGGCATGTCGCCTTCGACACCGTGTGGGGCCCAAAAATATCGCGGAGTGACACGGAGGGCACCTCCTGTGTGAGCTGGCTAAGGTCACTCACAAAACGGGTTGAAATACAAATTTTTGGGGCGCTCATATCCACGACGGCACCGACGGTGACAGTGTTCCCAGTCTTATTCACGTGAATGGGGGCGTCAATGGAGCCAATAAACACCTTTGAAAAGGAATTGCGGCACTCCTCACGACTGAGACCGGTAAAAGTGCCCAGACCGCCAAAAATGTGCGTGCGGCAAAGCAGCTCCGTTAGTGGAAGGTCACTGTCCAGCGGTGACCCGTCACTACAATAGAGGTTCGCGTCATCCAGCATGTAGCGCGCCGTAAACGTCACTGTTGAGGAAGTTTCCTGCTCCGATGCACCAAAGAAACCAGCAAACGTGCTCTTCTCCCACGGTGGCAGCATCGCAGGGGCCCAGCTCTGGGACTTGAGCAAGCGGCATGCAAAAGTCGACTTTTCCACCCTCAGCTTCAGTGCCATGGTGGGGATGAAGTGCTTGCGGTTCAGTGCCGTTGCGCCGCGTCCGGAGTGATACATGTCCTGCTTCCCCTCGATGATGCTGCGATAGGCTGCATCTCCAAACGGCATCACCACCAGAAAATTCGTCACCGTAGCAAAAAGCTTGTTATCCGACTCTGTGCTAAAAAGGTTCCCCTCCGCAACGCTTCCGCACTCCACCTTTGGCTTTGATGTGTAGGGAGAACGTGCCTGAAAAGCAGCGGCGCCTTGTGGCAGCACCTGCGCCGTCAGCGCCTGGAGACGCCTCATATTTTGTCGTTGTGTTTGCTCCATTTGTGCTTCCATCTGCTTCTGCACGCGTGCCAGTCGGTGGTACGCCGCATGTTTGGAAAGCTGACGGCGGAATAAACGACCCTCCCGTTCCGAGGCAAACCGCATCTTCCCCGCAACCTCCTTCGTCTCGTCAATGGACTGTTGTAGTAGCGGCACCAGTCCGACACGCGCAATGATGAGCGGCGAGATGATCGAGAGTTTCCATCGCGTGGCGGTGTTGCCAAGCTTTTCCAGTTCATGCATGTCCACCGAAGGTCCTTGCGACGCCGCAAAGATGTTCTCGATTGCCGCCCGCACCTCGTTTGTGTCACGGCGCCCGCTGGAGAGCGTGAAAGAGGTCTCAACCAGGCCCCAAATAAAGCCACCAAGTGGGCGCACGAGCCGCATGGAGTCCTCTGAGACCATCGAAATGGAGTTCGGCGGCAGCATCGCCACCTTTGTGCTTGGAACGGATGCATCGCTCTGACTCACGGTCGTTGCCTGACGCAACATGGTCTGTAGCTGGTCGTAGTCATCGCGATCCACAAGCGCGATCTGCGCGGTGGCGACACTCACCATCAGACTTGTTATTCGGTAGCTTCCTGTGCACGAGATGCCCGTCAGCGCGCTGAGTTTCCTCACGGAGAAGCGGAGGTTGGTCATGGAGGTGAGGTACGACACACAAAAGCCCTCCAAGAGAAACAAAAAGCGGCTCCTCCACCCTGGCGACGTGGTGGCCGCGCTGCTTGGTGGCTGTTGCGGGGCAACTTCCCTGTCCCCCTCCTCCTCCGCCGCCGCCTTCCCACCCGCGTGGAACGACTTCGAGACGGCGGCACACAAGTTAACAATCCTGTCAGAAAACAAAATCAAATGACTCATGATGCTCGATGACACGGTGATCTCAACCGTTTCCATCATGCAAGTGCCTGTCCGTACGAGTTCGTCCTTGGCATAAATGACGTAAACGCTCGGAAATTCCACCGTGTACCTCCCTGCTGAAGGACTTTCCGAGGCTAACATAAAGGGATGCAGATGAGCCTTAAAATTCAACCGCTTGTCAGAGGAGGCATTGAAAAAGGCTGAGGCAAGCGGGATATTTAGATCCGTGTTTATGCCTTGGGGCAAACCCATCTTGACCTTAATTTCCCGCAATTGAACAGCGCAGCAAGACGCATGAATCTTCTTCTGTTGGGGCGACAAGAGAGAAGGACGAGTGTCATCCATTTTCACGTGGCTGACAGGACGCATGGCCTGTAGAATCTCCTTTGCCTCAATCCACCCTTGCAGCCATTGATGCAGTTGAGCTTGCACTGTCTCAGTGGCCACCGGCCGATACGGCAACAAGAAGTGCATCTTCCCGATGTCGACCTGCAGGTTCATCTGCACGCCCTCGGGTGCCCCTGCGGACTTCTTCTCAGATGCGTCCTTTGGGCCACTGTCACTAGTGGAAATACAATTTTTGTCTGCGTGATGCATGCCCACCGCCAGGTGCTTCGCAGCCGCAGCAAACACACGTGACTCTTCATGCTCCTCCACCGAGCCCGCGGAACTTCGCAGCGTGTTGGCCAAGCTGGCCGGTACAATCACGTCGGCAACATACTGCAGGGACATAGACTCCGCAAAGAAGGAGACAGTTTTCTTCAGGTGCAGCTGCGGCGTGACAGACGGTGGAGCTGCGTAGTGCCCCTTTGGAGCACGCGAACGCGCCCGCTGCGCTAAAACGTGCAACCGCTCTCGTAGGCGCTCAGAAATCGCCCCTGTGAAGACGTCAGTCTCGACACACTCTCGCGAGCTGATGCACTCTGTGCGGGACTCGCCGCACCCAGTGAGATTGGCCACCTTAAACTGCATGAAGTTTAACTCGGAATGCAAAAAAGACGCGTCAAGCTGCCGCATGATACAGCTGCCTTTAAACACGACACCAAGACCGCAGCCAGACGTTTGTGCATCAAGAGGACCGGACGATCCTGACACCGGGACAAACAGCGGAGGAGGCAATTCACTGTCGCACTCTGCTGCCCTCGCCACTGCCACCGCTGCCGCCTCCTTTGCCGTGCCCAAGATGCGCAACACAGACGGATAGCACTTGACCAAGACGGCGTTGACCTCTCCGATAAACTGCACCTCTGCATCTCGCCGCGACCGCAACAAAAGTCGTCCAGTCTGCATCTTTTGGTGTGGCAAAGACGTCCCTAACGTTGCTGACGCAAAAAGACGCATACAGTTGAGCTCCTCAATGTATGGTGCAGCACCCTCGCCCATAGGGCGTATGGGCACCCTTGCAAGGAACTTGGCAGACGGAGACCTCACCTCAATGACGCTGGAAGCCTCTGTGTTGACGCGTAGGTAGCGTCCTTCGCGGTACACGTCAATAAGTTCAACGTGGAATGTGTTGACAGCGCCAACGCCCTGAACGTTGATACTAGCCTCGATACCATATTCTTCCAGTGAGTTCAAGGACGCATGCGTGGACTGCGACTGCCGGGGGAACACAATATCACGGACGCTCTCTCCACGTCTGTGGAGAAGCATGAGAGAATCAGCCGGGAGGGGGAAGGGGAGAGAGGCGCTTTCTCGCTGCACCAGTTGTCGCAAGTCACAAAGCTGCTGCAACATCACCTTCACTGAGTGAACAAAAAACAAGAAGTCCCGTGTGAGGTGCAGGGCAACAGTATCCACGGAGACGTGGCATGTTCCACTTCCTATACCGTGAGTGTTGTCACGCTTTCCACGTCCGCAAAAGGATGTGAAATACACCACCGCTAGAGTGTCCTTCTCCTCGTCGTAGGCGATGCCAGGAACTTTGACTTGGAGGTTTCCCTCCCGCACTGCAGGTTCATACTCAACCTGCGTAATGACAGCCAGTGAGGAGAGCGTGACTGAGGCAGATAACGCGCGCTCCTCCACCAGCATTGCGGCGTGTGCGGGCGGCAGAGTATGCTGCATGACAAACTTAAATGAGCGCACACCCAACGTTGTTGTGTACACGCCTTGACCTTCAACACCGGGTGCCACATTCTCCTGCGGCACCGGAAGCTCCGTCAAGACCTTCACCTCAACGCAGGGAAGAATAACACTCGTAACCTTTACCTCTGAGAGCCATCGCTTTTGGTGCACGCGGCTTCTGCTAAGCTCCCTTCGATGAATCGCACGCCGCTGCTGCTTTTGTAGTTGTGCCTCTGTCCGGCTCACGTCGTTATCCAAGTCATTGTTCTCCCACTCAACTGAGGTATCCCGCAAAAGCGCGTGCTCCGGGGCTGGTACAACAGGAAAGAACTGGTAGTAGTGCACCTGCTTGAAGAAGCGCGCCTCGGCCTCAAAAAAGAGTTTCTCTATAAAGGGCCTTGTTACAAGCACCGTAAGCGGTGCCACCGCCTCAAGGTGAAGATGCTTCGACGTGGACCCCTCCCGTGAGCGCTTGCGGTTGTCGGTCTGCCGTAATGCCCACACTTCGGACTCCTCGTCGTCTGCGGCACCCAGTGTGGCGTTCAACATCGCTTGCGACATGCAGAACTTTGGTGCCCGATGAGGGCTCATGGAGGCAAAAAACACCGTCGATGGGAGCGGGGCGTGGAAGCGCGTAAAATCACGCAGACCATCCTTTGCAAGCCGTGTCGCCGCAGCAGCGGTGTACTTTAGCAACGTCACCTCATCGTCAGCCTGCGAGTGCAAAAAAAACGGCCGCAAGAACGAAGTGAAAGGCTCAACCGGGCGCATCACAAGACTGTCCGCCGTCCCTGTCTCCTGCACCAACGAAGGCGATGAGTCCGCACTACTTCTGGCATTCACGTCGTCGAGGCGCTCGCTGCTTCCGCTCCCTGTGCACTCCATCTCTTCACTTTCCTCATCAACTTCCTTCTCACTTGCTGCTGAAAGGCACGTCAGATATTGCTGGGAAGTCATATTATTGTTTTCACGGAGAGAACCCGGTGATGACAGCATGGCCGCAACGTCCCCGGACAAGTCAGGCGCTGAGTCCGCCATTGCTGGTGAGCTTGTGTCCTCCTGCTGCAAGGCAAAAATAGTCTGCGCAAAATAATGCGTCGCTTGACTTGAGTTCCCTGCCATTGTTTGATCCCCCTGCGGCTTGGTGCCGTCCTCCCCAGTGAGGCCAATATGCCCCGGCGGGGTGCCCCCTATCGCCCTTTGTGGTTTTGTAGTCACACTCACCTCCGGCGGGATGCGTGGTGTGGGAGGAAACTCACAGGTAAAGAGGTGATCCACATCGTTCTCGGCCAAAAACCGTCGCTGGTTCTCCAGGTGGTGCTCAAGGCCTTGGTCGAAGGGATACGCCGTGCAGTTGCGCACGCGCAGTGACGTCGCCAGATGAAAGACCTCCGCAAAGTCCTCACTGGGTTTCGCGTCCTCATGCACGTCGAGTCGGCAGAAGCCACGCAGCGCGATGTCCCGCACGGCGGCACTCAAGCGACTGTTGGAGTTTAAGTCATTGACGGTAGAGGAGGCGAGTTGCACCCCACCCCGAAGCTGCAGTTCCACATAGCCGTCGGGGCCAACACGCACACACCCCATAACGCGTTCGAGCGACGCGAGTATTGTGACAACGGCGTGGTCTTTCGCCTCGTCCTCGGCCTTTTCAATCGTTTCAAGGTACTTGTTGAAGCCCACAGCCATCTCCTCAGGAACCAACTCTGAAAAAGGTACTTTTAAAGCCGTACCATCGCGGGCAAGAATGCGCTCCAGCGCCGCACGCGCGTCAGTGATCTCTTTGGGAGTATCTCTCTCCGTTCGCAACTTGCAGCTCTCACTCTGAAGGTGGCGAAGCGGCACAGTGCCGTATTCCGTAGGAAAGGTTTCGCTGCTCTTCTGCTGCGCGCGCCCCGACCGGGGCATAAGGTGGTGAGCAGAGAATGCCGCCCGTGTCTTTGCAATTTCAGTCTCCCGCAAAAGTCTTGCATCACACAGAGGGAACTGCTCCATAAACGTGTTCAGGAGCTGCGTCAGCATTGCCACCAGCTCCACAGTCAACTCAAAGGTGATGCCGCCAAGCATGACGTTCGCTACACTATGAAAAAGCGCCTGCAGCGGCATCGGGCCAAAGCGCCGAATCATGCTGGCCGTGATGTCCGCTGTGCAGAAGAAGAGTCCATCCATAAGCCCCTCCCCATCTTGGTCGAAGAATCGGCCGATGATCGGCGTAGCCGCAACGCTCAGGTCATTCAAGGCACATTGCTTGATGAGGGAGAAGTTAAACTTTGCACTGCATAGATTCATTTTGGGTGACGTCCCCCTGCTGCTCCGCAGCGTGAGATCGATGTCCAGGACACTGAGATGTAGGCTGAGTTCCTGCATGTTACTGGGTGGTTCCTCTCTCTGCAGGTACTCATTGAACTTCTGCCGCACGTTTCTCGGGGCATCCAACTTGGGCTGGATCTTAGACAGCGGCCAAAAGAGCTCGTCTGGCCGGATCACACACACCGAACCCTTGAAGAGATTGCCGGCCGCCTCAATCAAAGCACGGATGTGCGGCGGCATCACAAAGCCCCGCAGGCCAATGAGCTGAAGGTCCAAATCCAGATGGTTGAGCAGCTTCGTTCGACCCGTCGCAGGGTCCACCGGGGTTTTGTCCTGCGGCACCGTCTGATTTGGAATGTACACCGTCTGCGACCCTGTCAGCCTCAATTCGTCAAGCCGCACGAACGGCTCTGCTGCATCCACAAGTTTGAAGAGCGGATGTGTCTGCGGCAGACTCAGGCAGGCCTCCATGTTACGCAGGGTCAACTGGAAGGGGCGCTGCACCTCCGTCGATGCACTCAGCAGGTACGTGTCACTTGGAAGTGTCATGAAGAAGTGCCCCGTATCGCCCACACGAATGTTCAGGAAGCTGTTGAGGGAGTCGTCGTTGAGGTCCTCGCTGAAGATAACGTTCTGCGGGTTGCAGTTCACATGCAAGACGCTTGCAGCTGTAAAAAATACCTCAAACCGCTTCACATTGGGGATGAACTCCTTTACAAACCGGTCGTAGGTGTTGTAAATCTCCGTTGTCAGCGGCACGCCGTGGTACATTTCGGGCACAAACTGCCAGTCTGTCAAAAGGTCCATAAAGAACGCGATGTAGTCCATGTACCACCAGACCTCTAGCTCGCCAAACGAGGGCAGCACATTCCACAGCTTCCGCCCCGTGTACACGCGTTGATCCTCTCTGTCAATGAAAAGCTCTATCGTGCGCATCCGCGCAAGCAGAGTACTCTCGTCCTGAATGCCGTTTGTTGCCAACGACACATTTTTGCCTGAAAACAAGCTCTCAAACCACTGCTTCTTCTCTGTCTGCAACAGAAACTGCGGCTTTTGTATGTATTGCGACTCCCGGCCCAGTGTGATGAGTATAACCCCCTTGTGTCCCGAGTCACGAATGCCAAAGGGTGGCGAGGGCGCGGGGCTTTTTCGCTTGAACGGCACCGTCAGGCAGGTGTCGCGGAGAAACTCTACAAACAGCTCGAAGCCAGCGAGCGGGCGTCGTTCGCCGAGCTCAAATTTAAGTGACTCCAGCGGCTTGTAGGTGAGGGGGAAGAAGAACTCCTTCAGCTTCATCAGCGAATAGTGTGACCACGGGCCATAACAAAGCTCAGGGGCGTCAATAAGCAACTCAAGCCCTGTGCGCGGCAACTCCGCCTCGCGACTCACCTCCTCACCGGCGTAGACGTTTGCCACATCTCGGTAGAAGACGGCGTGTATTATGGATTTCTCCTTGCCGTTGAGGAGCATGCCGTAGTTGCGAATAAGCATTGACACCTCATCGGGCACTGAGGACTGCGTATCGTTTGCAGTGGTACCCTTCAACATCAACATAAACGATTCGCGCCAGGCGTTTTTTTTTTCCTGATACATGGGCACATTCTTGTTTTCCTTCTCTTTTTTCATGGGGCACCAGCGGGCGTGCACATCCTCCAGCGTCATCTCCGTGACGAAGCGGTAGAGGTCAATGCTGGGGACACCATCCATCGTCAGGTAACTGTGACACTCCCCACGCTTAAAGTCAAAGTGCAAAAAGTAGGGGTGTGCCGCACCGGCCCCGCCAATATCAACATAGCTCCCATACAGCTCCACCTCTACGGCGCCAATAAAGTCAAACAAACGCTGCACACGGTTCCTCGCGCTCTTCAGGCGCTGCTGCTCCTCTAACGCCTTTGACCGCACCTCTGCGCTGTATTTCTGCCTCTCGTTTGGGTTCCCATAGGACATTCTCCGCAGCTCTTCATCTCCGCCAGCTTGACTCCTATCCCCTTCCTGCCCCAGACGGTTGAGTATACTCCGCAGGGCCCACCCCTGCAAGGAAGATCGATGTGACTCTTCATCAAGGTGTGTGGTAGAGGTCTGCGCTTCCCCCAAATTGTTATAGTTCCAGGTGGCATTGTACAGGCAGAGACCCATGCCGTTCAGGTGCACACGGATCTTGCCGCGGCTCTGGGGAATTTGCACGGCATCTATGTTGAACAGCCCGACTGTGGAGGTGTCGTTATTATTATCAGCCTCGTCGTCGTCCGTGCCTTGGTGCGCCGGAATGTTGTCGCTGGGGGCATTACTTTGCTCCGCTGGCGAGAAGACGGGATCAAAACGGGCGGAGGAGATTCCTAGTGAACTTCGCTCCCTTGCGTCCGGCCACGAAACAAACTCAAACTCGCTGCTGTCGCTACTTCTTCCACGGTGACCCACGTTGCCTACAGCGGGGGTTGTGTTGCCACTCACCGCAGAAACCTCCATGGGCGAGACCTCCACGAAGTGGGTGTCGGCGTCTAGGTTAACGAAGGGTGAGGCCCCCGCCCTCTCGCCGCCGCTGTCATCAAGTCGCACCCGCACCGCCCGTTCCTCCCGCAGCACCTCCACGATCACGCCAGACACCCAATTCAGCTTCAGCTTCACACGGCAGCGCGCGCCCTTCAAGTCATCGGTAAACATGAAATCCTTCACTGTCGTCCACGATGGGTCCTCCCACCATGAATCCCAGAAGCAGAAGGAGACATACCCATCCATGATGCGCAGCGACAGGTTCTCATCCTGGTAGAAGAAGTCCTGGATGAAGAGGCGGCAGCTCAACGGGGCAAGAAAAATGCCGCCAATGTGAATCCGCGTTGTTGAGGGCAAAATGCAGTACCGCAGAAACAACCGCACGGCGAACCCCAATATTTTGTGCGTGTACAGCATGAGGAGAAGGCTACACACAAAAAGGGAGACAACAGAAAAAAGGAATTTCATAAAGTCCTTCGCATTGATTTCCATTGCGGCCAGTGTTTTGTCCTTGTCTTTGTCTCACTTCGTTCCTCTGCTTCCCTGTGTGTGCGCTACAGTATAACGCGTCGATCGGCAAGAGGAGAATAAAAAAGGCACGAGCGGATAACTCTGCAGCCCACTCACTCGCCCCGGCGTGTCTCACCGTGTGCGTGCGTATTACAAGAGTGCGAATGCGTGGATGTGCGTGCGTATACGAGGCAAATGAACGAGAAAGAAAAGCCAGTGAACTCAGTGTAAACTACGCCCCAGGTGGAACTACCAACTATGGAGCAAAGCAAAAACAAAAAAGGAGGAGGTGTGGAGCGCCTGTCGTGGCTCCCCACCTCTCCTTCGCCATCAACTTATTCCTGCGGAATGAGGAATGCTCGCACCCAGAACGATGCAATAAAACTGCGGCACCGCTCACTTGGCGAGCGTCAACTATTTCTGCCTTCCAGAGGCTTGACTTTGTGTGTGTGTGTGTGTATTGACTGACTGCACAGAAACAAGAAGAAAAAAATGAAAAAAGGCATACACAAAAGAATGACAACAAATATTGATCGCAATTGCCCATGATGCGCGCGGCAACAGACTTGATGACTTCATTCAGGGGGGTTAAGGAAGAGACCGACTTACCGCGACTCACCGCTCTCACTGTCGTCCGCAGCAAAGCGATTCGCATTCGCCTTTTTGTTTCCCACAAGCGCCTTTGCCTGCCGTACATCCTCCTGCGCCTTCTCCAACTGCATGCCGGCAAAACGGCCCTGCAACGTCTGGGGTTTCCCGTTTTTTTCCTCCAGTGCGGCCCGGGCCCGCTTACGGTACGCAATGGAGTTGGGAAGGACACCTGTTCGCGCCAGCTGGGCCTTGGTTTCGTACTCCGACTTCGTGAAGACGCCCCCGCGGCGCTGCACGCTGGAGTAGAACAGCATCTGCTGCTGCGACGGCCCCGAAACGGATGTCCGGACGACCGTGGCCGAGTGCTGCCCCGCCTGCGGCTGTGAGGCCTGAAACGGTGAAATGAGGGCGGCGGAGATCGTTCCGTCCTCCACGATGACGGGGCCTTTTGGGCGGCCGCCGGTGTGCCCCCTCGCCCGTGAATGTGGCTGCCCGTGACGGGACGGACGGTCACCATGCGCGGCACGACTGTGCGCGTGGGGTCGGAGGTGCTGTTTGTTGCCTACGGCATTGCGTTGCATCACCGACAATAGTCGCTAGTCACTATGCTCAGAAACAAGAGCAGCAAGAAGACAAAAAATAAAAATAAAACGAAGGGGAGAATGTCATCCCTCCCACACACGCGGCAATGGCGTAGAGCCCCACTTTCCAAATTACAGCCCCCAGCGGTGCTGCTGCCGCCGCGCATCCTGTACATCGCACCCAAAAGGGAGATCAAAAACAAAAACAAAAAGCGCTGGGATCGTACACACCACACGCTCCCACAACCACCAGCGGCAGACCCACCCTCACTCCGTCGTATGCTGCGCCACGGAGGGAACTTGAAAACGGTACAGTCTTGAGCACCCCGACGCTTCATCAGCCTCCACCGCGTAGAGCGTCTCACCTTTTGAGTCCAACGCGAGGGCGCGAAGCGATGGCCCTGGGGTGCGCACAACACCGCTCACCTCACCATCCCTCCCAATTACCGTGATGAGGCCGCCGGTACCCTCCCCTCCCCCATTGGGCGACGGCGACGATGCTGCGGTCTTCACGTCGTACTGCGCTACAAAAATGGAGCCGTCACTCGGTCTCAAGGTGATGGCGCTAGGGCCCATTCCTCCCTGCAGCTGCGCAAAGACGCTTCCAACGTAGTACGTCCCCCGCAGCACAAACCGCAGCACACGATTGGTCCCCTGCTCGCAGACATACACGCACTTGTCAGGCGCTACGGCGATACCCGACGGACGTACAAGGCCCCGAGAGCAGAGCGGAACGACTTGACTGCGTCCTTGCAGCGTGCGGTAGACGGCACCCACCGGGTCGGCAAACGACGAGTCACCCTCCGCCCCGGCGTCGGTGAAAAACAACTCTCCGTCCGGTGCAAAAGCGAGAGCTGTCGGCCCAACAAACGGTTTATTTTCAACGTTGTTTAGGCACTGCACAATAGTGTAACTCACCTCTCCGTGGCCATCATCAGCTTTCTCACTTCTCTCCCCACGACTAGCGGAGTCGGTCACCGCCTCCAGCTTAAGGATGGCATTCTCGTCGCGGTCGGTGAAGTATACGTCGCCATTGCGGGAATCGATGGCAATCGCGTGCGAGGAGGTCTCTGTCGCCATGAGAGGAATCATCGTGTCTTCCGCCTTGTTCAAACGCAGCAGCTCCCCACTGCAGCTGCATATGGCAAACACGTCGTCGTGTGGATCCAACGCCAATCCCGTCAAGAGGCGGCCCGGCAGCTCGGCAACAAGTTCCATGTGAATAATAACGACGTGGGGCCCTACGCCTGCAACTGCGACCGCCGCTGCTGCTGCTGAAAGCAATGATGATAACTTCTCTGCACGCACCCGTTTCTTTCAGACCGCAGGGCAAAAGCCCGCCCACAGAGAGAAACGGAGAGAGAGAAACAAAAGGATGAAATGCAGAATAATAAAAAGGGGGAAACGGAAACCACCAGCCAAAACAATAACATAAATAAAACGGACCCCGCCCACCTCAACCGAAAAAAAAAAAAAAATGGAAAGGCGGAGTCCAACCCGCTGCAGTCGGGAAGTCCACGCGCACGCCGCCTCGCACCTTCGGACCGGCACGCAGAGATGGAAACTAAGCGTGATAGTCCAAAAGCTTGGCCACAGGCGAGAGCCAACTCCGTTACACACACGCACACAAAATGTCGCCATCTCTCATTGCTAGCACAGTTGCCACCCACCCTGCGCAAATTCAGCATTGTCGCTCGCGTCATTGCTGACGCCCTCACTGACGTCGCTAAGGTCCGCAAGCAGCTGCCGCATCTCCTCCACCGTCGTACTTGGGGCATTGAGTTGAGGCTCGGCTGCAGACATCGGATCCTCCTCCGCAGCTTCCGCCCCCCCTTCCTCCATGAGGTGCAAATGACGTTCCTGCTCTACCCAGTAGTGCTGAAACAAAAACTGTAGCACCATCCCACACACCCAGCGAAGCTCAGAGAGGAGCGGGAGAGCGCCGTGTGCCACGCGTTGCCGTACCTCCACCGCCTCCTCAGGAAAGCCAATCATGCGAGCCCGCTTCCTGTACGTGTCTGCAGCCCCACGAGCGAAGGTGCCTGTCATAAGATGCACCACGCGCGATATTGCCGCGCCGTAAAAAGAAACGACACCCGACGATGAAAGGCAGTTTCCCTCATCGAGTGAAACGGCTTCCATCAGCAACGCTGTGGCTTCCGCGTACGCCGGAAGCGGCCGATGCTTACGTTCACGTGCCTTCCACACAAGTTGGATGCGATCCAAAGCCTTGCGTCTTGCCTCCGCTTCCTCCGCCCCGTCCTGGGCATCAAATAGCAGTTGCTTCACACGCTTCCACTCGTCCCATCCTCGTCCAAACACACTCGGCGCCGAAGAGGAAGAAGATGAAGGAGGTGCCGATGGGAAGGTCTCCTCCCCCTCCTCCTCGGCTAATGCGCCCTTCACCGCAGTCATGGCTGAAGCATCCGTAGAGACCTTTCCAGAGGAGCAAGCGGCCGGGGCGACGTCCAAATCGCCCAGGTCTCTCAGTCCGTTTTTGATGCAAGTTCCTCGTTTGCGCCGCTCGTTGAGGGTCGTCGGCTGCGCCCGGTTGCGCTTCCTCGCCATATTTATAAGTGTGTGCGTATGACAGTGCCCACGTCACTTCCTCTTTCTTTCTCCTTTTTGCGATGGGTTGACGGAGAAAGAGCCCAAAAGTGCTGCAGCAAGCAAAGGGAAAAGGGCCAAACAACACAAAAGAAAAAAAAAGTGGCAGCACAGTGGATCCATGTAAGCACGGCAGAAGGAAAAAAAAACACACCATGACAGCAAGCAAGGAAACCAAAATAACATCCACCACAGTACATCACGCACAGCAAGCGGCGCGTGCGGGGAAGCCAGTGGACGAATGCGGTGAAACACAGCCGCCTTCTTCGCGCCGTTACAAGGGAGTTCACGCGCACCCAATGCATTGCAAAGAATTTCACATTATTCTTCTATCACACACACACATTGTAGAGGGCAAGTTCGTACGTCATGCCCGAAAGGCGCGCATGCTAAGATCATACGTCAAAAATATTGCCGCATTGGACGGAAACGAGCGAAGCGCGGTGAGAGACCAACCACAATACAAGGCTTGCAAGCCTCCTTCCGCGTACAGCACGCGCAGCGCCTTTCCAAAACTGTAGTGAGAAAAGCAGGGGTCTAACTGCACACGAGTCTTGACAACGTCTGCAGGGAAAAAGACGGTCCAGAACGCCACCCCGCTGCAGCCCCCAGCAAACATGAGCCGACATGGCGACAACTCCGCGGTTGAGCCTCCTGGCGGCGTCAGTAGCTCCTTCACCTTGTCGTACGTGCCGCAGTAGGCCGCCGCGCCCGGCACCTCGCGGGCCAGCATCGCAGCACCGCCCTTGTAGAGCGTCTTCACCCCTCCCCGACGTGCAATTTTAACCGCGCAGTGCGTGACGCCACGGAACTCACGCTGGCTCGGCGGCAGCATATTCGCCACCTGCAGGTGACACTTAACCAGCTCCAGTGGTGTCAAGAAGACCGTTGAAGCCACACCACCACCCACGCCGCCAAGAAGAATCTGCCAGGCAAGCGGATGATATTCATCCGCACCCACCTCGCGCAGGGTCCACTTGTAAAAGGAGAACAGAACGGCGTGCTCAAAGCCAGAGGCCAAGAGACGCGTTGAAGCCCCATGATAGAAAGAAAGCATACCCTCCTCCTTTACAAGCCTTGCAGCGCAATCCCAGTAACCCCGCTAGAGCGAGCTGTACGCCTGCAGACGGACCTTAATCGTATCAAGCGGGTACTCCAGCAGCACGCCCACCACGCCAGAAAACGTCCCGGCCACGAATGTTTGGAAGTACTCTTCTGCCATGTCCACCCGGCACAGAGCCCTCCAACACTAGCGAGAATGAAAAAAGGTGCGTGACGGCACGCATGAAGCAGTCACGGCAGCGTCGCAAGAGAAGGGGGACAAGGAGGAATACAAAAGAATAAAGACACAGTAATAATAATAAAAGAAAGCATGCATGAAAGCCGTTGCAGTCGCAACGGCTGTCACAAACGTTGATGCAGCATTCCTCTTTCTTTCTATCCCGCTGGTCCGTGTTGCTTCCCCCACATGTTATCCAGGCCACTCCAGAGGCGCCACTTTATCCTCGACGTCTCTTTGAAGGTGGCTCCAACGAGTTGGGGCCGTCGCCCCCAACATCACCGTCCTCGTCCTCGTGACCATCATCGTTCGTCCCCGCGTCGTCCCCCTCCCATTCGGCGGAGTCCATGCAACTGCTGCTTGGCACATCGCACGCGTTCATTGGATCAACGTCCTGTTCCTTTTGACCGCGAGCGGCGGCGGTGACAGCAGGCCGTGTCTTTGAATCTTTCGCCATATTTCGGCCGAAGAATTCGTAGCTTTTCGCCTGTGCCGCCGCTAGAAAGGCAAATGCGTCGCTAAAGAAACCACGGCCATCTAGGGCTGCTTCCACAGCCGCAGCCGGTGCCGCCGGCAGCGCACAGGGCGAGGACGTCAACTCAAGCAGCACCTCACCTGTGCGCAGGTTTGTAATGGCGAAAGACGCAGGCGGTGGGGTCTCATTGCCGCGGTCCGACTGGGCCGTATGCATCTACACGGCGGGGAGGAACTAAAAAGAGGCAGAACAGCAGAAAACAAAATACAAACAAAACAGCAACTGAAAGAAAAAAAAAAACGGAAAAAAAATAGTGCAATGCGGAAGAGACGGTGAGTGGGAGCAACAGGGCGCATCTTAGCTCCTCCTCCCAAGAAACGAAAACACGGTAGAACTTATTTGTATGCTGAATTCCCCAAAGGAGATCCACCACTTCACCGCTAATGCCTTACATGTCCCTTTTGGATCAGCATTTCTAAAAGCCGCATATTTCGTCTGATGGATACACTTTTGTACTTTAATTATTTCCGCTTCAGCCTGATTTGTTTCTGATGCCTGTGTGTGGGAGCACATACAATTTTTTGTTGTTCTTTTGTAAGTTTTTTTTTATCTATTGTTTTACTTACGTCATCCATTTAAATCCCATTGAATTGGCTTCGTGGGACACCAGTCGCAGGGTGACTCAATTATTTCCCTTCCTGCCTTTCTTGTCTCCACCGCCCCCTCGCAGTCATTTCCGTCCCGCGGTGATTTGTGTCTCTCCCCCCTCCTCAGCAGTCACTCCGCAGCTGGAGGGGGGAGAAGAGGGGAGCAGCACAAACGTACACAAAGAGAGAGAGGTTGTGAAGGGGGAGAAGCACAGGCCTGCCACTGGCACAGCAGTTACCCAGCTGCTTTATTAACGAAGCCATGCCAATTTCCTTTTCATTATTTTTTTCTGTTGTCACTTCTGCCTTATCCCGTTTTTCTTCTCACTCGCCTTCACTTAAAAAATATCTACAGTCCCGCCCTTTAAAGCGAAATATTTCCACCCGTGATTTTTTCTTTCTTTTTACACTTACTCCTTTCGGTTCCGATGCAGTTCATGTGCTTCTTCTTCTGCTGCATCCGGTCATGGTGTGCCGCCTTCCCGCCGTCGCTCTGGGGCGACCGCCAGAGAAAAACCACGAAAGGAAGAGAGGGAGAGAGACGCGTTGAGAAAAGGCAATACGGATAAAACCGCCACCACAGACGCTACATGACGGTGCAGCCACCATGTCCTTCACGGCGTCGCTTGTACCTCATAATCCACTGCATCTGTGTTTGGTTGATGGCGCCCCGCCGCTTCCCGCGGACGAGTTCAACCGCGTCGAGCGGCTCCATACCGCCACACTCCACAAGCGCCAGAGCCACAAGTATAGGGGCGCGGCCAAGGCCAGCCACGCAATGAATGGCGATTGCCGCAGGCTGCGTTGAGACACCAGAGAGCAGCAGCTGCTTCTCCTTGTCCAGAAGGCCAAACCACTTGTCCAGCACAGACTTTGGCGGCGGCGCACCGTCGTCAAAGGGCCAGCTGTGAACCTCAATGCCGCTCTTCTCCACCAGAGAGGCGTCGTACGTCGGTCCGCAGACCCGCACGAGGTGACGTACCTGACGCCGTTGAAGTGCCTTGACGTACGTGGGGAGGTTGCTCGACGACGGGGCGTCCAGGATCAGAAAATGGAAGAGCGTGCAAGAGGAGTTCTTGGCGTCCTTGCACTCAATCAGCGTGCAGTTGATGTCCATTATGGCCGTAGTGCTTGTTTTCCTTCGCACAAAAGAGTAAATAAATACGTGCTTTCGGTGAAGGGCAACAGCTTTGCGTGGGAATCCGTGATTGCTGGAGTCACGCGAAGCAAACTTCTACACACGACGGCAATGCCCACAAATGGAATGAAAAACCGGGGAATTGGCAACAATTGAAATTTGCCTGGAAGCGACGCCCGTTAGATGACTAATTTTCTCTGCCTGCGAGTAAAAGTTTGACTTCTCTCGTTCTGTTTGTTTTCGTGCTTTGCTTCATGCTGGTGGAAGCGGCGTGGCCGGCGCAAACCCACAAAAACAACAAGGAAGAAAACGAGGAGAAAAAAAGATATTGCCCAAACCAGCTTGTGCTCCGCCATGTGTCATGTCAAAAAGCAAAAAGAAAAAAAAGACACACACACGCCTTCCATGCAGCTCGGTCGGCCCAAGGCACGCTTGCTCCAAAGTAAGCGGCGTCACTCCGCCTCCCGTGGTCGCTTCCAACGGCCCAGGAGGGCATTAATGTACCGCCGCCACCAGCCACCGGCGCTGCGCACCTCCGCTTCTTCCGTATGCAACGTGGTGGTGGGTTCCACCTCCGTTGCGCCTTCGCCACCCTCTCGCCGGCCCTCTTCGCGTGCATGCGCCGCCGCCACCTCCCGCTTATCCTCTGCATTAGTTATTACCTGTAGCTCCTTCATAAGAAAGGCCCCACAGCTTGGGCGCGACACCATAACGTACCCTTTGCGGCGGTAGTAGTTGCGCACCCCGACACCACTGATGACGGCGATCTTGCTATACCCCGCCGCGCGTGCGATGCTCTCGGCCCGCTCCAAC